TTTTAGATATGTTAGCAGTTCCATGGCTCACGTTAGACTATGAATAGAAGACACCAGTGTACTTTAAGTCAGACAATTCACAATCTAAAATACAACTATTAATATCATCAATGCTTGCATTCCATTTTTGGGAACCCCCAAAATTTGCATTGAGGTGTCTTATGATATTGAAGTCACCCAACAGAGCCCAAGGGGATGGAGATTAGCTATAAGATTGGGCTCTAAGATTATTCTATAGGCTTTCCCTTATATAAGCAGTGTTATAAGCATAAACGTGTGTGACAAAAAAATGGAATTGATCATGAATGGTAGTAACACTGCAATGAATGGCTTGTGCAGTGGATGAAAGCTTCTGTACCTTCAAAACAGTAGGATTGAACAAAATCAAAATTCTGCCCAACCTAGAGAACTCATAGTTGTGATGAATATGCCATGAGGGGGGCAATAAATCTATGAATACCATCAATATTAGCCTCGTGTACCTTAGTTTCTATAAAAGCTATCATATACAAATTATGATCACTGATAATCTGTTTTATTTCCTTTTATTTTTCAGGGGAATTAAGACCCCTGACATTCCAAACAGCAAAAAACATTAAGAAAGGGTTTTGAGGGCTAAACCTGGAACCCCCATAATAGGTAAGTTAACGTAGTCATCCTCTTTCTTCTTCTTCGATCTTCTTCTTCTTCTTCTTCTTGTCTTTACTATCTTCCTTGTCATCCCCATTCCTAGATTCTCCTCCTCTGTCAGCTGGAGACGCAGTAGAGGAACATGTTGAGCTACTTTGGTATTGAGATAATGTAGGAACATCCCTATTGACTGTAGCACAAATAGGCCCTTTTATGAGTATCTTCCTTCCTTTTGGTGATCTTGGCCTTGGCAGTAGGATTAGTATTGTTGACTGCATTTACAGTGAAGTTATGCTTGTCTGTTACAAGAACACCATCATCTTGTTGATGTACTTGGTTCATCTTATTCTTATTATTGTTGTCATTATCAATAATTGTGGCGGTGGTAACCACTTGGTCAGTCTTGGTGGATACCGAGATTTGAACTTGTGAATTATTATCTGTCCCTCTGAACCACAATCCAATCCTAAGAGACCGTATGGTTTTTTGTTCCACTGTTCACCTTCTTAATGGTCTATTTGGTAATATAGTTAGATTCATTGTGCCCAAAGCTCATACAAGATGTACAAACTATTAGCTTCCATTGACATTCAGCAATGATGTTAATGTATCTACCATCATCAAGTCTAAGTTAAAAAAACTCAACAAAAGGTTTAAAAGCATCTACTTCCACACATAATCTAGCATAGCTTAGCCTTTTCTTTGTTTTTGTGAGTTCATCAGCAAACAATGATCTTCCCACGGCACTCACTAAGTGACTGAATCCCTTAGCTATCCAATATTCCCAAGGAATATTGTAGAACTTAACCCACAGAGGCAGAATCTTACAGGTATCTTTACCAAGTTCAATTCCTTTCTTCTAATTCTTTAGCATCATAGGTTTCTTAGCTATTATGTAAGGTCCACTTGCCAAGATGTTGTTACAATCCCTCTCAGTTAAATATTTTAAGCAGAAAAATCCTTTATCATCTACTAGAACCTCCTCTAACCCTTTCAAACTCCATATTTTTGAAACAGCGGTTTGGACAAGGGAAAATGCACTACAACAAATTTTGGCTCTAGCCAAGAAATTTTTTGCCACGTATACAATTTTGTGGCAAAAAGTACCTTTTCGCCACAAAATAAACTTCTTGTGGCTAATATATAAGTGTTTGCCACAGAGTAAATTTTTCGTGGCAAATTCTTGTTTTTGCCACAAATATTAGGGACGACCTAAAAATTTGTGGTAAAATGTCAATTTTGCCACGACGAATTAGGGACGACATACAAAGTGGTGGCAAAATGCTATTTTGTGCCACAAAATTCTATTCGTGGCAATTGTATGTTTCTTTTGCCACAAATATATTTTTGTGGCAAATCACTTTACAATTTGCCATGATGTTATTCTCGTGGCAAATATAATTTTTTGGCACGAAGTGTTTTTCTCGTGGCTAAAAGATGGATTCTGCCACAAATTATTAGTTGTGGCTATGATATGCTCTATTGCCACGAAACTATTTCCGTGCCAAATCTATTAGTTATTCGCAACGATGTTTTATTCGTGGCAAATAATATCTTTTGCCATGAATATTAAATCCTTGTGGCGAAATGTCTTTTTTACAATGAATTTATTTTCGTGGCAATTAGGAACTATTTTGCCACGAATTTTCAATCCTTGTGCCAAAATGCCATTTTTGCCAACGAATTTATTTTCGTGGCAATTAGGATATCTTTGTTGGCTATTATTTATTTATTTATTTAAATTTTGGAATTCCTTAAATAAGAGGCCTAGAACACTGAATCCCTAAGCAAATTAATTAATTGTTAATAAAAATCCAAAATGGTATTTCTTTTAAATGTGACCCTTTTTAAATACTACTACTTGTCATACCGAAAAGATTAAAAAAAAAAAAATGTACTAAACATTCTTATATTGAATTTAAATTAATCATATATATATATATATATATATAAATCCATAATGCAATATTTATAAGTAATTAAAAATTAAAGATATAATAAAAAATATAGATCATATATCAAATCTTGAATAAATTTACAATTACAAAATAATTAACTTATTATACGACCTATTCTATTATATATTAATTGATCACTTTGAGATTGAGATGACTTTTAGTGAACTTAATTTCACACCACTAAGTTGGATACAATAATTAATATTAAATCTTAAAACATTATAATTATTATTACAACATTGTACTATGTTGACCTTAAGGATTTCATCCAAGGAGAATCTAATTGTTTTGATGATTACAAATCATTAATGATGTGTATGGACTAATATTTACATTGAGTGTTATGATTATCTACATTCAAAGATTGACCTTAATGAAGCAATAAAGATTAATTCCAAGTATTCCATTATTCAAGATCATATCAAAGAGCTAAAGAAGTTGTGAAGTTACAAAATGCTAAATGCAAGTCCATCCAATGATAACTTGGACAACAATAATCAATCAAGCAAGTAACTCAAAGAAATGAAGAATCAAGAAACCTCAAAGCATAAATGATTATGGACAAAGCTTGAAGAAAGCGATAGATAGATGGTAAGTGTTTAGAATTCAATGTTAAAATATTTATGAATCTATTTGAAACTTATCTCTATAGGACCATATGTCAAATGTATATATATATGATGAAATCCATTTAAAGCTTATCTCTATTGTACCGGGCATATCATTACATCATTCATATGAGTCTTTAAACCATTAGGAATTGACTATGAACTTCATCATATATATATATATATATTTGACATATGAAGTTATTGCTAAAGAATGAGTTAGTTCAAGGTTGCATAAGTTTTAAAAAAAACTCAACACTTGGGTTAGAAATGCTAGGACCATGCACATCAATCATATGACTGGATAAAAGACTTTATGACCTGTTCATTTCTTATGAAAATTTGTTTTTGCTGTTTTTGGCTAAGTTAAAAAATAAATAATAATAAATACTTAAATAATAAATAAATAAAATAAAATTTGAAATAAAGATATTTTCAAAATAATTTTTCCCTATATTTACTCATTACATATTAATTAGTCAAATTTGATTTTATCCGATTTTATTATCAACCTTACATTGGTGGGTGGGTGTGTGTGTGTGTGTGTGTGTGTGTATATATATATAATTCAACCAACATTGAGGATTTGTTGTCTTGCTGAGTCTGGAGGTATCATGTTGAACTACACTCATTGTACTCTCTTTCTTTATAGTGAATTTCTTGGCCAAGCCAAGTCCCGAGCATTTTTTGATCCCGAATAGGTGGTAAAATTATTTATAATTGGAATTTATAATTATTTATTACTTAAATATATAAATTAATTAGATTAATAAAATCAAATGTAGAAACATTAATATGAATGTGTCTATATATATAAATATATAATATTCATAAACACTCCTTCAAAGAGTTGACGTACGTATATATATATATATATATATATACAAACACAATAATAACAATTTATACCATTAATTGATAAGTTTTTCATTTCTTTTAAAATATTTTTTTGTCTGAAAATCATATATAAAATGCAAAATGTTTAGAAAACTTAAATTTAAACATATTATATTATAAAAAATAAAATTACTTGTACTTAAAAATTTTAATTATTTTATTAATTAAGTTGATTTAATTAAATATGATAACATATAATAAGTAGTTTATTTATATATGTAAATCATTTATAAAACATTTTTAAGGAAAACTATATTAAAAATATTTTTAAAAAAATTTTATTTATTTTTTGCTTTTTTACCAAAAGTTTTTGAGTGCGTTGAAGTGGGAAAATTTCGCGCTTCGGATTTTTCCAAACTCGATTCTGAGTGCCTCAATATACATATGTTTTTTAAAAAATAATTCAATCGCTAATAAAAAGAGTATCTATTTATATATTGGGACTTAAATGGGAAAAAAGATTTTTAAAAAAAAAGGACTTATTGCTCATGATGAAATTTTTTAGGATTTATTTGTTTCTCAATGATAAAAGTATGACTTAGTAATAATTTTTCCTTTTAATATAGGTTTTTAAAATATAGTAAATCGAACTTATATTGATGTCATTAGAGAGAATACTAAGTCTATTAGTCTCATATTTATTAAACACCTATGCAAAACAAACTGTAAAAAACATTAATAAAGATGAATTTCACTATCAATTAGTGTATGCCATATTGAGAAAACAATATATATAAATAAATTTACTTATATATGAAAATTAATTTAATTTGTATGACACTTATATAACACTTGTAGTATAATATATCATACTATTTAACAAAATAATTTATTTATTTAAATGGTTTATAAAAAGTTCTAAATATTTAAACAGGTTATAAATTTTTTTTATATTTAAATAATCTTTTATTTTTTATTTTTTTAGCTAAATGCAGGAGCGCCAAAGTTTGGCGCCTGAAATTTGGCAAGAGGAAAATGAGATTTATTTCGTATTGGGATGCTAAATTGAGATAGATACCTCATTCTTTTACATTAATTCTCTCATTTCCTCTACTCTCTCATAAGGACGCTCCCTTCCATGGCATCATCTGGTCATGTTAGCGGCCACATCAGATCGTTCTTTCTTCTCGATCTTCGCTGGTAAGTGTTCTCCCTCTTCCATCATTCACTCTCACTCTCGCCATGGCTCCTTCACAAACTCGTTTGTCTATTAACATGGCCGATGTTGATTGTTGAGTAAGGACTTGAAGATCAGCAATTGACCAAAATTGCAAAACTCTACAGGTAAATGTTTCTCTCTTATCTTTCATCTCAAAATATTGGCGGAATATTTATCTCCGTATGTGGATAAGTAATTGTGATGAAAAATCAGTTGGGGATTTTGGGATTTGAGGATTTTACTAAATTAATTTGATGCAATTTATTGATTTTCTTGAGGCCCTAGGTTTAATTAGAGTTCTATTATGTTTTATGTTTGTGAATTAATGAAAAAGGCTTCGTGATTTAAAGGAGAGGAAGAGGAGACGTTGAAGATATGGGTTATAAAGACTATTACTGAGATAATGAAGCTCAGAAATGTGCACTCAAGGTGCTTGTAAAATCGTCTGAACCAAATCTCCAGCTTTTCTACTAGAATTTTTTGAAGTAAAATGCCCCCAAATCGTGCTAGGACCAAACCAGGGCAGTGTTAAGCCCTTCCCCTTCCTCCTCCTCACCATGATCCTACTTTTTTCATGCCATTGACAATTATTTCCAGTGGAATGGTTTGGATTTAAATATACATGCACACAAATCACAAATATACATGAACATATATAGAAGTACAAGTAATCATTGGTTCCTCTTTCCTTTCTTCCATTTGACTGAGTTGTTAAATTTTAATTAATTGAGTTCAAATTATTGTTCATATTTATTGGCATATACTTTGTAGATACTAATGTCTATAGCACTTGTCTGTATACTTTGTTGATCCAATCTCTGAATTTTCCATAACTGATAGCCGTAAGTACCTATTCTATAACTACTTCTCTCTCTCTCTCTCTCTCTCTCAATCTCTGTCTCTCTCTATAGTCTATAAATTATATATTTATATGTCAGAAACCAATTGAAGGATTATTGGGTGAATTTGTAGATGAAGCGTGTGAAGAGATACTGATTGTTCCCCTCTTTATCCCTACTTATTTATTATCAAGTTGATACTTCCTTTTTTCTATGCAAAACAATTTAATATAAGGTAAAGATAAAACCAATTCCTTGTTTATTATCATAGTGGGTTGACTAACTTGTTTATAATCATGTGTATGCTTGCTGAAGCAGAAGTTTGTTATCATGTCTATCTAGATTGTCACTTAATCTCTGTAGAGGCAGCTATTGTGATGTAATAGCTAGCATGCTGGGTAAGTTCACCTTTTACACTGTTCACATTGGGATGTTCAAATTAGCCATATTAATTTATTGTGTTTTTCCAAATTTTCCCTTTCCTATATAATGAGTAATATTATATAGTGATTGCTTTATTCATAAACATGAATTTCAATGGAGTGAGTACCTACAGTTTAAATTTCACTGCTTGTCATTAAAAAAAGGGTCAAGTATCAATTAAGTAAACCTTTTTGCATCTCTCTCTCTCGCAAAAATGCGTAGTGGGTTCTCACAATGTGTAATCACAATTTGATAACCTACATTTCTATGTTTAATTAATGGGAGATGACCACGCCTTTAACAAGAAAGGAAGTGCATATTGGAACCTTGTTGAATTGATGATTCTGTTTTACTGGTTACCATGTGATAAAAGGATTTGATTTTCAAGTACTTATTTTCTTTTATTTATGTCTTTATTTTTCCGGAGCTACAAAATGAATGATTTCAGTTTACAACAAAGGTTAGAGTATGTTCCTCAAGAATTGACTCTAGAGGGGGGTGAATAGAGTCAATGGCCAATTTTCGTAATTTATAGAAATACAATTTCTAATTAACAATATAACCTATTGTGCAATAATCAACATATGAAATCAAGATATGAAAGTAAACAATTTATAACACAATTATAAAAGAGATAAGGGAAGAGAAATTGCAAACTATAACACGGCGATTTTTGCGAGGTTCGGAAAACTCCTACTCCTCGGCTCAAGATCCCTCTTGAGACTTCCCAATCCAATATAGCAAACCTTGATTAGAAGTAACTCCTTGCTAAGAGAAAACCTCTCTTAGTCTTCCTTTCGGTCACACCAACCCTTACAATATCCTTGCTAAGAGACCACCTCTCTTAGTTTTACATAGGCCACACCAGCCCTTACAATTTCTTTGCTAAGGGAAACTCTTCCTCTTAGTCTTATAGCAGATTTGTAGATAGAATTTGTAGTACAAGAAATCCTCTCAAGAACTGATACAAATCAAACCTTACAATAGAGTATATATGAAGTCAAGTGAAGCTCAAACTCTAAGTATGAAATGTATGAGAGATGATGAGGAAAAAATGCAGAACGAAAGCTCTGTATAATGGTAGAGCAAAAAGCTCTCTTGGATGCACTTGAATGAATGTTCTTGAATGCTCTCTCAAGTAGTATAATAGAGCAGAAACTCTATGAAGATTAAGACAAGAGCAAAAGCTTTTTTGATCTTTTACTAGAATCTCTCAAAAATAGAATAAGCGTGAAATGAGAGAGAAGAAGAGAAGATGAGAACAAAAGCTCTCTTGCAATGTAATGTCTCTCAAAATGGTAGGTGTATTCAGCATGCTAGCCCTCTGTATTTATAGAATTTTGAGACTCAATATAGCTGTTACAGGTTGTTGGGATCAATTAATGAAAATATTTCCGTTGCAGTTCAAAACTCCAGAAGGAGCCTGCTCTGTAAACAAGAGAGCCTACTCTTTATTCATTTTCTTTAGAAAGAGCCTGCTTTTGTAAAAATGTGAGCCTGCTCTTTGTTCATTTTCATTAGAAAGAGCCTGCTCTTGTAAAAACTTGAGCCTGCTCTTTATTTTGAAGATGCATTTTTCGTAGCTTACTTGGAACAAAAAAAGAGCCCTCTCTTTCTTTTAATTGAGCCTTCTCTTTTTAATTGAACCCTCTCAAATACTGAAGTTGTGGAAAAGAGCCTTCTCTTTCTTTTAATTGAGCCCTCTCTTTTCTTTGAGCCTTCTCTAATTTTTCGTTAAAAAGCCTACTGGAATTGAAAGAGCCTTCTCTTTTATTTCATGGAGCCTTCTCCATCTCATTGAGCCTTCTCTAATTTTTCATGGAGCCTTCTCTATTCTTTGAGCCTTCTCTAATTCCCATTGAGCCTTCTCTAAATTTCATTGAGCAGGCTCTATTAGCCTTGAGAGAGCTGGCTCTATTTCTTATAGAGGTGGCTCTTGCTTCATGAAGGCTGCTGCTAAATTAGATTGGACAGAAAAAGTGCATGACTTCAAATGGACATAACTCAGTCCATGAAACTCCAAATGAGGTGAAATTTGAGTCTGAATTTATTGCCTTGAAGTCAGCTTTCTAATGCCACTAGACTTGCTCAAAAATTCTAAACACAGAAATGGTTATGGCCATTTTAGTGAAACCTAGTCAGAATTTTCGCAGAGCAGAATCAGTCATCTTGTGATGGTTATATCTCTCTCAATTCAAATCCTTTTTAGGTGAAATTTGAGTCCAAATTCAAGAGCTCGAAGTCAGCTTTCTAATTCCACTGGCCTTATGTAAAAATTCCAACTACACAAATAGTTATAGCATTTTGAGTGCAAGTTGGTATGGAAATTTTCGAGGCTGAAAATTGCTTCTTTTGAGATATTCATTTTTCTAGCACCTAGGACTTTGATGAATGATTCAATTTAGTTCAAGGCCTGTTTCTAGGAGTTTAAGGACATATGAAGATGTTAAATTTCAAGTGCATTGTGTCGTAGAGTCATTTACCAAATTATGGCAATAAAGGCTTTAAAGATGAAATATAAAATTCAATGCCTTTTCCTTTTCTTTCTAGAGACCAAAATAAGTATTGTGATTAATGTGCATGGTCCTAGCATTTCTAGCTTAAGTTGAGTTCTTTCAAAGCTTATGTAAGCTTGAACTAACTCATTCTTAGCAAAGACTTCATATGTTAAATATATGTGTATTGAAGTTCAAAGTCTATTGCTAATGATGTAGGAGCATATGATGTATGATATGCATGGTCCTATAGAGATGAGCTTCAAATGAATTCAAGAATACTTTGATATTAAATCTTAAGCTCTCACCATCTTATCTACTCCTTTTCTTCATTTTTGACCATGATCGTTTAGGCTTGATGAAGACTTGCTTTCTTTCTTTGAAATGCTTTGTGTGATCTTTGAAGTCCGAACTTTTCTTCAATTTCTTGCAACTTTGAGGCTTCCTTGAAAACATTAGTACTTAAACATCATTAATGGTTTGTAATCATCAAAACATAAGATTGACCTTTAGATAAAATCCTTAGGCCAACAAAGTATTCTTCTTTTTCATTGCTACTTGATAGGAAATTACGATTTACATGTTTGGTTTTTTAAGAAAGTGAGAATGAAATATAAAATAACTTAAGATATGCTTGGTAAGATATATATATATACAGTTTAAATTTCACTCCTTGTCATTAAAAAAAGGGTCAAGTATCAATTAAGTAAACCTTTTTGCATCTCTCTCTCTCGCAAAAATGCGTAGTGGGTTCTCACAATGTGTAATCACAATTTGATAACCTACATTTCTATGTTTAATTAATGGGACTTGACCACGCCTTTAACAAGAAAGGAAGTGCATATTGGAACCTTGTTGAATTGATGATTCTGTTTTACTGGTTACCATGTGATAAAAGGATTTGATTTTCAAGTACTTATTTTCTTTTATTTATGTCTTTATTTTTCCGGAGCAACAAAATTAATGATTTCAGTTTACAACAAAGGTTAGAGTATTCTTCTTTTTCATTGCTACTTGATAGGAAATTACGATTTACATGTTTGGTTTTTTAAGAAAGTGAGAATGAAATATAAAATAACTTAAGATATGCTTGGTAAGATATATATATATATATATAGAAATATTTTATCTCCACTATCATGTTTAATCCACATGGTAGTCCTTGGCAATGCATTCTATGCTTAAAAAGTTAGATATTTGTTTCCCTTACAAATTGTGTGTTGTGCCCACCCTATGAACTTGTGTGTTTGGCTGGTTGTAATGTAATGCATTCACAAGTTGTATCCCATTACTTGGATTTTATTTCTTCTCTTTTCTCTGTTTTTGTTTCCTCTTTTTGTCTTTTGTGGTTTGATTGTTGTTGCAGGTGGAGGAAAGATCATCAAACCCCGCCAAATGGGTACCAAGAATTCTTCTTCCAAAAGAAAAACCTTCAAGATCCCCTCTGAGGTATCTCTCTTTGTATTATCTCCTCTCTCTCTCTCTCTATATATATATATATATATGTCATAATTCTTAATTTTTTCTAGGGTTTTATTTCCCCTTTCATTCGCTAGTTCTAAGGTCTAATTTATTGAATTTGCACTCAGATACTGTTGCGAATCAAGTTACCTTACCCAATTATTAATTGATACCCAATTATTAATTGATACATGAATCTGTTGATGAGCAATCATAGGAAAACAAAAGAAAATTTTGAAATACATGTTCAGTCGAACTAAGTCACAATTATTTAATTTCATATTTTTGTTCTATGGGTATCCCAGATTATTGAAATCTTCCTATTCAGAAATTTAGGGCCTGTTTGGTTTAGCTTTTTGGGAATAGTTTTAAGAGCACTTGAAAACAGAATAAAGTTCGAAAATAATATTCATTTTGGTTGTCGTTTATCTCAAAAACTATCTGTGAAACTGAGTTAAAAAATGTACGATATAGACAACTTTCTTTTCTAGTTCTCTTAAAATGGTTCGCTGTTTTTGAAGTCTTGGAAACTGTTATCAAAGTACTAAACCATTTTTGACAGCATGTTAATATTAACTTCAAAAATCCATATTAATTTCAAAATTCAATCAATTTAAGCCAAACAAAATCATGTAAACTCATTAACAATTATACTTTCATATCCAAAACTTAATTTAAAAGATAACAGTTCTAAGTATAGAGATTTCAGTTCTAAAATCAGCATTTTTGGTTTCATTTTCCAACATTACTCTTCATTTAAATTCTAACAATTCTTTAACTAATTTAATGCAAATATGAAACCAAAACAAGGCAATAAAAATTAGTAATTGTATTTATTCATTGTTTGTTTTGCAAATTTTTGGATGGGCTTATGCTACAAGACTTCAAACTCTTTTTGTTTAAGATGGTTTTAAGTAGTGCATGTCCAGGTCTTTGAACCCTTTATTTAGGAATCTATAGCTCATTTTTGTCTAAGATCTTGAAACATTTTATTTAAGATACTAGCTTGTTTTGGTCCAAATTATTGGAGTTGAAATTGTTTTAGATGCGAAGACTCATTTTTTAAATGCTTTATTATGTATATTATTAACAATACATTTTTTTGTTGGGTAACTTACGCAATATCACGTATTTATTTGTTTGCCTAATCGTGTTGATGTGATAATTTTTTTTATTTTTTATTTTTATATATATTATTTCTTATGTTTATAATGTTAATAATTTATAGATTTGCTACAAATTCTTATCGTGCCACAATAAATATGTGGCATATTTTTGGTGTTTACCACAATATATATTTTTGGTTATTAAATTAAATTTTATTTTATTAATAATAGAATAGCCAAGGATAAACTCCGTGGCCTTTTTGGATATTTGTTACGACGTATATTTGTGGGCAATTAGATTTATAGCCACGAATGAACTCCGTGGCCTTTTTGATATTTGCTACGACGTATATTCGTGGGCAATTAGATTTATAGCCACGAATGAACTTCGTGGAAAAAGGGTTAAATTAGCTACGATATATATTTTCGTTGCAAAAGTATTGAATTAGCCACGATTAATTCTTATATCGAGATTGCTAATTGCCACGAAAGTATTGTTATTTAGTTACGAAATAGCTTGTGGCGATAGGAGGTATTTTATCACGAGTTCAAATTTTGTGACAAAAGTTCCACATTTTGCCACAAAAATTTTTAGTTGTGGTTATTTGCAATCTGTGACGGGGCTACGCCCACGATTGAGCCACGAGCTATTTCTTGTGGTTAAAAGGCTTTCGCCCCGAAATTTGAAGGTTTTTGCCACGAAGTGTCTTGTGGCAATAACCCTAATTTATTCTAGTGATGGGAGTTTCTTCTTAATGAAGTACCATATGAGGCATGATTTCAGCCATATAACCTTCAGGAGGGTAGACTCTGATTAGAGATCCATGGCCCTCAGAAGGGGGAATGAAATCAAATTCCATCCTTGGGGAGTTATCCTGTGAACCCGCAGCAATCGATTTAACTTTACTGCACATAGTGCACCCATTTTGCATAACACATACCCTTTTCTTTTTCTTTTAACCCAAGAGATCATAAGCCTCCAATATTGATAAATCAAAGTACGGGTCGCTCGAGAAGGAGTTAGTTGGGGTGGAATTTTCTCCTGAACCACCAACCTAATAAGGTTTCTCTTTTTCCTTACGAAGAGAAAGAGTGGTCGGAGGTTTAAAGATCGATTTGGGTACGATGGTCTCTTATAGTGGTTTCACATATGAGTAATCTTATGATGACTTGTGTTTTTTTCTTTTTCTCTTTTTATTTTTTCTTAGTATAAACTGCGGGGGAACTCGAATATAGGCACACCCACTCAGAGAGGCAACAAAAAATGCCGCAACATTTGTCTTTGTGGAATGGCAACAAAAGGAAGAGAAAAATAATAAAGAAGGGTAGCAATAACCATCGTTAATAACAACACTCAATAAGGAGCCAACACGATTATTGAAAAGTTGTTAACCCTAATGTTCCGCTAGCTTGATAAAATGGAAGAAAATTGGATGGAATGCAAAGAAGAAGAGATGAATGAGATATCTCTAAGGAAGAGATTGTGTACTTCGTTTTTTTTGTTTAGTTGGATTGAAGAGAAGAAAATAAGATAATACCTTCCTTTTTTTTTCTGCATAAGAGAAGGGAAGAGAAAATGTTAATTATAAGGAAAGTTTTGTAATTTAAAAATATTTATAATAGTCTTGTTTTTTTTTTCCTTTGTGTCTTCCATCTATATTTGGAGGGAAGAAAATTTGTAAAAGACATATGAAGAATGACTCGTCTATTATTTTTTCTCTCCTTACCTTCTCTATATCAAAAGGAGGAATTTTATTTCTTCCTTCTTTCCTATCAAACGAAGTATAATTAACTAAATTACCGGAAAAAACAAACTAATTAACTAGATACTCAAGTAATTTAGGCAGAGAATAAAATACAAAACATCACTTTTATTAAAAAAGAAATTAAAAAGAGAATAATTTAATTGCAGAGATATATTTTAAAGAGAGAAAAATAATTTAATATGAAAAAGAAGATTTGTTAAAGGTGCGTGACTTTGAGAGTGACGCTTCTAAGAACAGTTGCTACACAAACTATATAAAGTAATTATTTTAAAATAGAAGAAGCGCATGTGGGGTTTTTTTTTTTTTATTTCCAAGGAGGTAATGGTAATTTAAAAAAAAAAAAACACCCACACACGCGCGCGAATCAAAGAAACAATATATTAGACGATAAAGATAAAGGTTGACAGCAATGAGGTATTAGTAGTTAATCAAGGTAACTTTTCAACTATTTCATGTTTTAAAAAGTATTGTCAATTTGAAAAGGTGATATAATATATTTTTAATTAAATTAAGTGTTTTGAAGTGCAATTAAATATTATAAATTCTATCCACTTTTAGTAGAAATATATATATATATATATATATTTCGGGTAAATAGACTTCTATTACCTAACCGTACAGAATACCACCTGGCTAACAACAAACCCACGGCTCTCAAACATATTTCAAACAAAGGAAACCAAGCCACAAGTATAAAAACGGATCAAACAAACGAACCCAACTAATCCCAAGATTTTAAAATCAAATCCAATGGAAAGCCAAAGCGATTTAAACTAACTAATTCTATTTATTCAAATGACTCGGTCAACATAATCTAAGGATAACTTTCTTCATAAACCAAAGAAGTCGACTGATATAAAAGCGCATGCATAATCTGCCAAGACTCGGTCGACCTTGCTTCATATATATGTTTATACCTATATATATATATATATTACAATGTCGACCTTGCCTACACTTTTATTTCAGTGGTTTTTGTTGCTTTCTTTGATCTCCACAACCAATATTGTGTCTGCAAAGCAATATAATATTCCAAGGTTCGGTCTTTCCGGAGGAATTTTTCTAAATGACCGACAAGGAACAAAAACGCAAGCACAAGGAGAGGTCCCAAAAGATTTCAAAATTTTGTATTACAACCAAACACTTGATCACTTCAATTACAGGCCTCAAAGCTATGCCACTTTCAAACAAAGATATGTGGTGAATTCCAAATATTGGGGCGGTGCGAAGAAACGCGCCCCAATCTTCGTTTATCTTGGTGCTGAGGCGCCATTAATCGACGATGATGATATTTCTGGAGGGTTTCTAACTGATAACCCTCGTTTAAAAGCTCTCCTAGTATATATAGAGGTATATATATATATATATATATATATATATATATATATATATATAAAATTGTTTTAGCATTAATGTTAAACTGCGTGCATGCATGCTTGTTTAATTTGTTTGTTCATGTATCAGCATCGGTTCTATGGAAAATCGGTTCCATTCGGATCATTTGCAAAAGCGATGAAAAATACTACTCTTCGGGGTTATTTCAATTCAGCTCAAACACTGGCAGATTATGCTGAAGTAATCATACACCTAAAGAAAAAATTATAAGCTCATTACTCTCCTGTTATTGTTGCTGGAGGATCCTATGGTGGAAGTAAGCAAACAACCAACTATATATAATACTCCAATTATATATAACTAAGATATATATATATATATATACACACACACATAATCTATTTTTTTCTCTTAATTATTTCTCATACCCAATTAAATTTTCAGTGCTTGCAGCATGGCTTCGGCTAAAGTAGCCCCACATTACCCTCGGAGCTCTAGCCTCATCGGCACCTGTCCTTAACTTCCATGATATCCTCCCACAAAATGGGTATTTTCCGATTGTCTCAAAGGATTTCAAGGTACAAATTAATTAATTAATATATTAAATTAAAACAATTAATTGAATTTCACTATATATTGGGTTTTTTCAAGTTAATTTGAGCCTTTCAATGAAGTAACTATATATGTATTGTTGCAGGAAGAAAGTGAGAGTTGCCACCGGACTATAAAACAATCATGGTCTGAAATTAATAAAGTTGTTTCTCAGCCAACTGGTCTTACAATTCTTAGTCAGAGATTCAAGGCTTGCTTGTAATTAATTATATGCCATATTTATAGTCTATCCTAATTATTAATTGTCTATCCACTAATTAATTAGTAGTTGTATAATAAATTTTGACAAATAAAAAATAATAATAATAATGATTTTCTTCTTTCAGGAGCTTAAACAAATCGGATGACCTCGAAAGCTACTTAATATACATCATCCACCAAAATATCCTGTTACTCAGATCTGTCGTGGCATTGATGGAGCACCCAAAGGAACTGATATTCTTGGCCGGATATTTGCTGGTGTCGTTGCCTATAATAAGGCTAAAAAATGTTATTTTGGGACAATTTCCCAACAAAATTCTACCCAAGAAATATCTAGCGAAACAGATGTGGGGTATGCAAGGCAAGTAAGTTGCATGAGTGTGTGGGGGGTTAATTATCATAATATAAAAAGGGGGGTGGGGGTTAATTATCATAATATAAAAAAGAGTTAAACTTGATTAGTTTTCTAAAAACACTTCTGAAAGAATTGTGAAACATAAAACGGGCTGTTGCAAAAGAATGTTTTTTGAAAATGGTGTTTTTTTTAAAAAATAAATAAATTTTATCGGAAACTGTCGTGCAAATAATTTCTTATACGACTTTTTAAAAATTGAAACTGCCTCTAAATTTTCTTCCTTTGAATTTGAATTTTTGATTGGTGTATTTAGGCATGCAGCGAAATAATTCGGCCCTTTGGTGAGGATAAAAATGGCACTATGTTCGAATATGATGTAGGAGAACCTGATTCTACTGACAATATAACTACGTACTCCGAGAATTGCCTTAGCAAATATGGCGTCCCATCAAGACCTCATTGGGCCTCAACCTAGTATGGAGGTCATGTTTGTACTTTTGATTTAAAGGTTTTTTTTTAATTATTATATATTTTCAATTATATTTTTAAGTCAAACTAAAATACTGATAATTACTTTTCGAAGTTCACGAAGTGCTTTTCCATGGCTCGTTGTAGTATTATAAATTGGTTCTCCGAAGATTTGCTAGCAACATCATTTTTTCGAATGGACTAAAAGATCCTTATAGTGTTGGCAGGTATTTGAAATAAAATGTTTTTTTAATCCTTTATAAATAGATAAAATTAATCAATTTGTCTTAGTCTAGTTGACCTAATATGCTTGTTTTCTCCTCTGATCACAGGGTGTTGGAAGACATATCAGATACTATTCTTGCCATCCGTACAGCTAACGGTGAGTGGACACTGTCAATTGGACCAAATATATATATATATATATATAACCCGTCTAGTTAGCTCAGTTTACAATTACATTGTAACATTCATAATACAAATTTTTTTTCTTCTTTTTTCTCCGAAATTCAAACAAATATATTGATGATTAATATGTACATATGGAATATGCCCATTCAAGCAGTTATCACAAAGTCATACACACGCTCATAATACAAAATTAAGACAGGAAATGATATACATCTAGTGTGTAGCTATATATATATATATATATATATATATATATATATATGTTATTCAAGAAACATATAAGATGCCAGATAACATGCAACACTGATAAGTTAACCAATTGCTCTAAAATCTTTTTACATAAAATATATGGTAACCTGTAAAAAAATCCGTCTCAACTTTCACGATTATTATTTTTTATTTTTTTGCAAAGAAATTTCTTGAATTTTCATTTTTGTATAAAACACCTTATACCATTCCAAAAATATTTCATTACCCTCCTTCCATTTGCAAGCCACTACAATCATGACAAAATTGACATTTTTGGACCTAAAATCTTTGTAATACATTTCTTTGGTAATAAAATGACTTAAGGATATTTTTAGATCCATGAATCTCCGCGTAAAATATAAAGGGTTCCGTAGTCATTTTACAACTACTGTTATTATTATTATTTTATTTTTTTTTTCCCGTTTCTTGAGGAGTATATTGGTAAATTATATATATGTGAAGGGCACTTTAACTACGATACACTACGAATTTAAAATAGTTAAGGGATTGGTTGTAATATTTAAAAAAGTGTGAAAGTTAATGGGGGAGGTGGTTTGCAATTTACCCTAGAATATTCATATTATATACAAAAGGAAGAAAAGGAAATTGAAAGTTTAATAAAGAAAGTTTTCTGTAAGTCTGTTTAAATTTCTTATATTTATTGTCATTTGTTTTATTGTCATTTTTATTAATCGTTGTCGATCCTTTGATTTGGTATCAGAGCTTTGTAATGGATGCGATAAATAACACTTATCACTTCCGATCCAGGTAGATAATCATACCCATAGGTCTGAACACGAAGACTAACGGCCTCATGGATATTTTTATCTGTTAAAGATAAATTCAGACTAGGATAGATATTAAAATAAACCGGTCCATGGCATAGACTGGTTTCCAGTGCACCCATTAAGGAAGGGTGAAATTTCAGACATCGAGCATCCCGAAGGGTTGCTTGAATACAAGCATCCATACCTAACAAGGTTAAAGGTTTAAAAGCAATTTGAATTAAACCTATATGGATGTACTTATATTTGTGCATGTGCCTCTGAAGGTCACGGGAAGAAAAAAATTTAATTATTGTATCCTTAGTGCTTAATTGCATGGTCTGTTCCATGGTCTTGACAGTCCATAGATCAGTTAAATTAAGCATTTCGATTTTGTAAATGCTCTTAGCACTTACTGGAGGGATAGTCCATCTGTTCAATTTATTTTGAACATTGGTCTATTCCACTAATTCAGTATTTTTTACCAATTTTGAATCCTGGTTTTCCTGTACTCTTGAAGAGGAGGAAGAAGATGGTTTTAACATGTCTG